TTCATAGTCTCCTTTCCATTTGTTTAGGACTTCTTCAATATAAACACCTACAGCAGAAAATGTTAAACAATCCCTCAGTATAGTATTTTCCATTTAACAAATCTTTAGTGGAAAAAAATATTGTGACAAATTGTGAGCAGATACACGATGCAGATAATGATATGATCTAAAATTACATATTAATATTCTATATGAATATATTAAATTTCTATAAATGGCTAGCTCTGATTTAAACAAAACCAGAAGGGAAGACTCACATGATTCAATGGCCAAGAATGTTTTAAAAATCCTTAACACTGAAGAGAACTCCGATAAATCTGAAATTCATTTGTGACTGTCATGATTTAGACTCATCTCAAAGCCGATTCTTTCTCTCTTTAACCCAAAACCCAAAATAATTTGTCACCACCTGAGATCAGAGTAGGAAATGAGAACAACTGCAGCACCAATCCACAAACAATTATGGTGGCATAAGTAGATTAGTGTCGTTGGTTTAAACAGGAATAAAACTGCTGGAGTAAAATGTTTTCTAGACAGATCTGTAAGAGATTTTACCAGAAAGATGTCCTCCTTTTAAAGCCTTAAACCAGATGGTCATTTTTTTTACACTAAGCTTTGTGATCTAAGGCACATGAGCCAGAATACTAGTATACATACTAATTTCTTTTGCAAGACAGCAGACCTTGGGATTTCATCATATATGAGAATGTTCTTTTTGAAGAACTTTTAGTATTAAAAGGAATTCTTCATAATGCAAGGTTACACTTCAAGACAAGGCTATTTTAAAAGGAACACCCTGGTGCCTTAATTCTTTGATTTATACAAATCATAATACCAATTCTCACCACTTAGTAAAAACACATTTCTGTTACTACTGAAGGTAACTAATAGTATGAAATCATTGCTGTGGGTTACTTACCGTCAGGTTTAAAGGGGATTTTATTCTTGTAAAAGCGGAGGTTGCACAAGTCATTCTGATATCGTAGATCTTTAAAGTTCTGCTGAGCAAAGATGAACAGTACAAAGCACAGTCAGCTAAACTAATATCTACATGAAACAGAGTGATGCTGAAGTCATTTCTAATATGTTCATAATGAAGTGTGGGTGCATTTTAAGCTAATCAAACTTCTTATAATTTGGGGGGAAAGGACATAACCTAGCTGAACCCTATGTGCCAAGAGAAGTTTCATGTTACAAGCTGACAGGATAAATGATGTTCTGATTGTTACAGGGCAGCAGATTTCACAATGTTATTTAGTGACTTAGTTCAGACGAAAGAAGTGACCAAGTGAAAACCAAGCCAGAATGCAAAATGAAAATAATCTGTGCATTTGTTATATCTTGTTAAAATGCCTGCAATACCTCCATGTGCAAGCATTTGAAATTATTTTTATTAAGCTTTTCTCTCTTGGGTTTAATGTCATTTGAAGATGTCATTTAATGTCACTTTTGTTTGACACATGGACACATATGGTGAATAGAGCAATGGCCAAGGGCAGAATGGTTGTGTAAAGCTATCATCTTTTTAAAAAAAAAATTAAACTTTTATTAGAAAAATTCAAACATTGACAAAACATAATAACCAACATATTTCCAATAGTGACTAGTTACATGACCCTAAAGAACTTAATGTACATACACTGGCACATTAAATAAGCAGATTACATTGTTCAACACCCTAACAAAGAAAATACAGAAATACCTGTGTTCAACCATTTGTTGTTAAACTTTAGGAATGACGTACAGAAATGGGAAGGCCAAGCTAAACTCTATCAGTATTTTGAGGAATGATATTCGAGATAATTAAAAATGAAGGCAGGAGTGATAAGCTTTATTAGATGGGAGAGTATCTTTAGTAGACATATACTAAAGAACACATGACCACGTGGATGAAAAACATAAAGTTGAAGCAGATAAGTTACCATTAGCTGAGTGCGTAATATTTGTAAGTTTTGCTAAAATAAAGCTATCATCTTTGATGAATGTGGACTCCTCAATATATGCAGGCCTGATTGACATCAAAACTTTATAAGTATTATTTGGAGCTACACTATTCCATTGATTAATACACAACCTGCCTGGCTTGGAAAAGATATTTCATATTTACATTTCTAGTGTGTGTTGTTATTATTTAGACCACTGAAGAAGGCCCTCTGGGTCAAAACACATTTGGTCTTGTGATATGCATAACCAATATTTTGGTCTTAGTTATTGTACGTGCAACTTACATTTGTTGCAGTATGCTATGGATGTAATGTGATATCCACTACATCTGTTTTTATCTACATTCTAAGTATGTTTTTAATCTGCAATTACTGTGCACTTTGTGATAAATGGATGTAATTTGTTTGATGTTTTAGCTGCTCAACCTTCTAGGTTCCTGATTTAAAGAAGAAAAGTTAGAAAAACAGGACAGTTCGGGATGGCTTTATACTGTTAACCCTTTTTTGCTGGTCAACTGAGCTACTGGGGGGGGGGAGCAAGCATGGTACAGAGGCTAAAACATTGGCCTAGAACTGGGAAGACACCGGTCCAAATTCCCTGGGTGACTGTGGGATAATCATTCAGCCTATAATACAGAGTTGTTGGGAGGCCAAAATGAAACAGAGAAGCATGTACTCCACCCCAAACTCCTTGGAGGGAGGGTGGTATAAAAAAAATAGAACAGATAAATGGAAAGACAGAGGATTCCCCTCCTTCTCCATACCTACATGTAGTCTGGTCTTCCAGCTCAGGAAAGCCAAGAACTATTTCAAGGTAGGTTTAGAAAGACAATCAATCATGGTGCAACATCTTATTTTCTAGCTTCACTAGTTTTCTGGTGAGTTTATACCAAAGGTTACTGAAACCAGTCTTCCTCCTGTATTTGCTTTTAGGACAGTGAATGTGTCAAATGGCTATAAAGTTAGGCATTCCTATCATAAAATCCTCAAGGCAAGGACTATCTTTTGTAGTAAATTATGACCATTCTCTCTTTGATGTCTCTTAACACTGCATTAGCACAAACAAGGACAGTAAGAAAGACACAATGCATACTTGTCCTCCAACATCTCAGTAAACTGAGAGCTCTGAGGTTTCTAGACACTTCTTTCCACCCTTCGGCCCACCATAAAAATATTATGCTTACACAATGGAGATCTGCAGGGCTTATCTAAGTGACTTTGGAGACTTAAATGTCACTATCATTCTATCTTAATGAATCCCCCCCCCAAAAAAAACCCCTACAAAATGCTCTTACTGGATATTGGTGCCGATATTTGTACAAATCTCTTGCAGCATAAAAGCTTCTCTTTGGTTTAGCTGTCACTTCAATTGCATCATCCCCCTGAAAAGAGAAGACATATTCAGTAGCAAGCAGAATGAGTATAACAACTAGACTTTGGTGACATGGATTTATATAGTAGCATGATGGTAAGAAATGTAAACTGGGTTCTGGAGGATCACATATGACATTCTACTCGCACAATGGGAATTTTCTGCTCTTTTACCCCAAGTCCCTTGTGTGCACATCTGCCCCCAAAAAGCTCCTTCTGAAAGTCAAGGGACTGTCCACATCAGCATTCAAAGTTAACAAGAGGAGATACAGCTGAAAAAGAAAAACTGGCTGCTTTCCTTTGGGGAACCACTTTATGCAAAGGCTTCACTGAATCTCAGCTGCTGAATCTATAGAATATACATCTGTCCAAAGAGGTGGTGGGGACACACACACACACACATTGTTTATAGTCCACCTTTGTCATTTGGACTTAAGGCAGATCACGTAGAGTGTGTATGTGAAAGTGGATTGCACAGAGTGAGTCAATACAATCAATGAATGGGACATTCTGTAAACAATACAACAGGATTATGGAAGTAGAGCCAACCAGACATCTAAAATCAGAGCTGAAGCAAAGCATAAATATCAACATGACACACTAAATGATGCAAAATTTTATAGTAGGATCCTAGTTTCAGCAAGCTATACACAGTAGTATAGATCACAGTTCCTATTTATGCAAGTAACTTTGCCAGTCATTTAATACAGTGTGACTCTATTGCCTGCGTAGAAAAGTCCCCTTGAATAATTCAGTTTTGCATAGACTGCAGGAAGCCAGAAGAGTAGGAGCCTTCCTGACTTTCTCAGGCAGGCTGTTCCACAAGGTGGGGGCCACAATGGAGAAGGGGCATGTATGGGCAATTATTGATTTTGCCCATTTTCAGGTTAGCACCTGCAGAAGGCCCTGCTCTGGTGAGCAAAGCTGCTGTGGTGGAGCATGGAGGAGAGGTGGTCTCATAGATATGAGGATCAAAGGCTATGAAGGGCTTCGTATATGACAGCTAATACTTTAAATTGAGCTCAGTAACTGATGGGCAGCCAGTGAAGTGCCTGCAGGATGGGAGTAATATGTGTGCTCCATCTAGCTACCAATAATAGCTGAGCCATGGCATTCTGTACCAACTGGAACTTCCAAATTGATTCTGAGGGGAGACCAAAGAACAGTGCATTACAGTAGTCTACTCTCAGTGTTACTGTGGTGTGGATCCAGGTGGTCAGATCAGCTGTATCAAGGTAAAGGGCCATTTTTGGGGCTAAACTGCGTTGGAAGAAAGCCCCCTTTTTGCAACTACATTAACTTGCTTCTCCCATTAATAAAGTTGGGTCCAGTATAATCCCAAGGCTGTTAATTGAGTCAGCGAGGGTCAGCTGAATTCCATCAAAAGTGAGGAGCACAATGTCCTTCAAGATCTCTGCCTTTCTAACCAACATTACCTTGTCTTTTCAGAGTTTAGTTTGTCTGTGTGTCTGTCTCTTAATGACTCCTGTAGAGTTGGCATATTGGTCAATTATCTGTCAAAAATTAAGTATTCTACAAATCTAAGAATACTACTCTATAGATAGCAATTTACCTTTTTAATTTCATTATAACGTTGTTAGGAAGGGCAGAAGTGATTACTGGTTGCCCCCAAACTCTTCAGCAGCCAAGAGCAAACCTAGCAGCACATCAAAGTTTCCCAATAACCTGCCTATAGAGTAGGATGTCAGCTATACCATATCCAAACAGGAATAATAATCAAAAACAAATAATAGGGCACCCCATGTAAATTTATTAAGATGTAAATCAATTGCAGTTTTTAAATTGTTTCAATGTTTTTAAGTGTTATTGTTATAATTATATATAAAGAAAAAGACCTCCCCCTTTTTAAGATACATGTTTATCCCCAAATGAGGAGCGGCCCCACCAATCACTCCTTTCTACAGATAAGGAAGTCTTTAGGCTTCATGTATATTTGTTAGTCAAGCTGTGAAGTAATGTAAGAAGAAGAAAAAAATTAGTTACCAAGTCTCTGGAGTTATTCAGTCTTTCACATGGTTTTATGAGACAGCTGAACTAAGATTTGCATTGATAAGAACAAGTCTGACTACATTCTGAAAGACAGACCGGATCATTAAACAGAGGTCCACACAATATTTTGAGTGAAGTAACTTACAAATATTTAATAATTTTGCATTAAGATTTCAAAATTGCCAAAATAACCTTTTCTGAAAGGTTACCGTCCCCAAAAAATGTCTGCATGCACACAATTTTTAGAACAGATGATTATTTGCTGTAGTGAATAACAGAAGTCCCACAGATTTCAGCTGGTGCTTGATTTAGACTTTCACATTAAAGAATAATAAGCAGCATTACTTTGTCAACCATTGATAATTCCATTAGTCACAGATCTATTCTATGCTAGACTTCAACACAAAATACGAATCATTTGAAGCTTCCCACAAACTTCACTCAAAAAAACAATTTCCCCTACTAGATGTACTGCATTTGTGATCCAGCCTATTCCCCAGATCTTCTAAACATATATATCATTTCGGGCAGTACCAACATACCTATATCGCATCATACCCTTATCATTTTTGTCTTGCAAAGAATTTCACTATTTACTCTAGCCAATACAGAATCATCTCAATAGATTCACAATAGGACACGCAGGGTACGTTCTGACGGGGCATTTACAACGGTATAGGTGCTGGTTGGAATCGGTGTACTTACTGGCATTCACACGGCGAACATCTGCCTTCCGTCCCTAACCACTGCAAAGAGCTTTAAACCGTTGTATTCTGCCATTAGGTCCCCAAGTTGTGGTATCCTGAGTGCAACGGTTGTAATCGTTTAACACACACACACACCCGGTCTGATTGCTCTCCAACATTGTAGAGCCACTTCTGTTCGGAAGCCCGTGTTCGGAGGCCCGGGTCTTCCTTTTTTCCCCCGCCATTTTTTTTTAGGTCGGCGATATGCACTTGGGCGAAGCTTCGCCCCGGTGTTTGTTTGTTTTTTTAAAAAAAGGTCCTTAGTTTAATGTTTTAGAGGAGTCCGGGACCTCAGAGAGGCCAGTTTGCTCTTTAAACTTTAAAGGTAAGTCCTCTCTTCAGGGCATGCTTTTCTGGACAGGGTGTTTTCCGCATGCGCGAAGATCGCCATTCTGTGGATGGTTGCCTATGCACATGCGCAAACTAAGTTAAAAAAATCCCAACAAACCGCCAACGCCCGTTGTGTGTAAACGGGCATACAGCGATGAGCTCCGCAGACAGGAGGTAAGTGTGATCGCGTTTATGCCGGCTGAAACGCCCCGTCTGAACGCACCCATATTGTCAAAGTTTCTACTCTACATGAATGCGTGGTCAGTCCAATTCTTCTAGTATCAAGTTAGTCAACACTGAGCTCAAGTCCTAGGATATGCTGAGCTCTACTCCTTAGGAGCCTAAGCATTCTTATTTTCCCAAGGAAAGACAGTAGGTTCAGTCTTTCCTGAGTGAATGTTTTTGAGCAGTGTTTACAATGAACCAGCAAAGAGACAAAACTGTGGTCCTGAGGTCAGACCATTTGACTAGGAGATCCAGGACTGAATTCTCATTCCCTACTTTGCTTTGAAACTCACTGGGTGATCTTGGACTAGTCAGTCAGTCATTCTTAGCCTCTTCCCTTACAGAGTGTTTATGAGGATGAGATGGGGAGTGGGAGAAGAAGTATACTGGGGTCCAAATGTGAAAGATGGAATTTTTCACCTCACACCACCATATGAGGATGCTACCAGGTTGCAGAGCCTTACTATGGCCCCGGTCACACGGGCAG